TTTTTTTTTTTTTTTTTTTGTCTTTTTGTATTTTTTCCGTGTCCAGCAACGGATCGCAACCCTCAGTGTTGCCCCTGTACCGGGCTGGGGACCGGCAACGGGATTGCAACCCTCGGTGTTGCTCCCGCGCCTCGCTCAGCCAGTGAGCGGGAACTGGTCTGTATGTGGGATCCGAACCCTCGGGCGGGAGCGCCGCCGCGCTTCCCAAGCGGCGCACTATGCAGTGCGCCACCGGGCCGGCCCCAAGACTATTTTAATTCTAAGTAAAGAGAAACTATTTGGAAGGTGAATCTTCTATAAAAATGTATATTTATTTCACAGCATCTCTCCCATTCTTTAGTATAATCAAAAATTAACTTTATTTTTCTAATACAGCACTGAGTTTTTTCATCATTTTACTCATGAACTACCCTTGTCTCCATGCCATAGATAAGTAGAATGTTATAGTAGACCTCATTATTCTTGCTTTCCTTTCTCTCTATATGTTACCAAATTTGCCTAGTAACTATGGTATCACAGAATTAACATTTACTACTTCTTTCTTCCTTTCTACTCTAATGTAGCTTATTACTTCTTATCTAGAAAAATTTATACATTTTCTCCATACTCCAATGCCTCTCTCCTCAATAAGTGCTAGATCCCAGACCTTAAATTGCTTATTTTCTTACAGGTACCAAAAAGCTAATGTGTTCTCTTATCAGCCTACCATCATCAAGCATATTCTTTTATGCCTTGCCTCAAAAAAAGCATTGCATCTTTTCTTGATTATAAACGTAAAAATGTGCATTGTAGAAATTTTGGAAAGAACCAAAGGGGAAAATAAGACCATTTAGAGGAAAATAAAAATAATTTATAAATTGTCTCTTAATCACCATTAACATTATGGTGAATTTCTCTCCAGACTATTTTTATTTATTTATTTATTTATTTATTTATTTTAAAAGATGACCGGTAAGGGGATCTTAACCCTTGACTTGGTGTTGTCAGCACCACGCTCACCCAGTGAGCTAACCGGCCATCCCTATATGGGATCCGAACCCGTGGCCTTGGTGTTATCAGCACCACACTCTCCCGAGTGAGCCACGGGCCAGCCCCTCCAGACTATTTTTAAAGCATAAATGTACTTTATAAGTTATTAGAATGATTGGTGTCACGGTAGATATACTTTTGTAGCAGCTTTTTACACTTAGCAATATATTGTGAATATTTTCTCATGTCAGTTAATGTTTTTATATAATAAAATGTTCTCATATAATAATGTTAAATGTTCACAATAATAATGATGATGGTTACCACTTACTGGGTGCCTATTATATGTCATACCATCCTAATTGACTTATTTAATCCTCACAACTACCCTAAAAGGTAAATCTCATTACTCTCACTGTATAGGTGAAAGAGCTGAGGTTCAGGGAGGTTAAGTCATTAGCTTACGGATGCATAGCAGCCAGCAGATCCCTCCAACTCTTGGTCTGCTCCTTCCACTATAACACATTGCCTCCCTTGATTTTTAATGACTGCATAGTGTGACATTAGGTTAAAAAACCGTAATTTATCTTTTTTTCTATTTTCAGACAGTTATGTCATTTGATTTTTTTTGGCTATGATTGAGTAACATTTAATATGTAGAGTATGGCTCATTTTTATTAAACAAAACTAAGTGTATACATTTATTTATATATGCGTCAAAAGTTCTAACAATTAACAGCAGTTATCCCTAAGGAATATATGGGATGAATGGGGAGGGAAAGGGAAAGTTCCACTTTTACTTTATTCACTTTTTTTTTTCCTTTTTGTCTTTTTTCGTGTCCGGCAACAGATCGCATCCCTCAGTGTCGCGCCCGTACCGGACCGGGACCGGCAACGGGATCGCAACCCTCAGTGTTGCTCCCACACTTTGCTCAGGCAGTGAGCGGGAACCGGTCTGTATGTGGGATCCGAACCCTCGGCGGGAGGGCCACCGCGCTCCCAAGCGGCGCACTGTAGCAGTGCGCCACCGGGCCGGCCCTACTTTATTCACTTCTATCTGGCTTAAAATATTTTTTAAAATTACAAGCACACATAATTAGACTTACTTAAAAACTAGTAGTAAACACTAATGAAGACTTTTGTATGATAACTCTCAGATACACTTTTTATTTTTTCCTTTGGATAAATTTCTAGAATTAGTAAGTAAAAATTAGGAACATTTCAGAGTTTCATATTATGTATTATAAATTGCCTTCCCAGAAAGATTTTACCAATTTGTATACTTTTACCAGAACTATATAAGTGTTCATTTTGCTGCTTTCTGGTCAATAGTGGCTGTTAACATTTTTTTCATCCTTGCCAATTTCACAGATGAAACATTATATCAAATTTTGTTTTGATTTTTATTCCTTTGATTACCGCATGAGGTTGAATGTTTTTTCTATCAGCCGTTTTTATTTCCTTTATTTTTTGCAAATTGCCTATTCATGTACTTTGCCATTTTTTTAGAGGTGTTTGCCTTTTTCTAAAAAATTAATTTGCCATAAATCTATATAACTACAGAATCTCTGTTATATATGGTGCCAATATTTTTGCCTACCTTATGTTTGTGTTTTAATTTTGTTTATAATATTCTTTTAAAAAGTAGTAGTTAAATTTTTTTAAATTGCTGAATCTCTCAATCTGGTAGGAGTAATTTAGTTATTTTTGTTTGAAAACTCATATGTCTTGACCACGTAATTTAAATTGGGGCAGGAAACACTGAAGCATAGAGAAGCTAAATAACTTACTGAAGGATACTTCAGCTAGGATGCAATGAAGTTGGGATTGAGAATGTTAGTTTCGAAAAAAATTCTTAAGTCTAAATGAGAATGAGGAATTTGGGAACTCACACATTCTTTGTGGGCCAGTGTTGAAGAACACTACAGAGGGAGCAGTAGAGAGGAAGGGGTACCCTGTGGAGCTCAGAAAGGTGGGGCAGCAGGGGCCGGAAGTTAGGGTAGAAATGACAAGTTAACAAAGTGTCAAGAATGTGGAAGAAAAGGTAGAAATAAGTTGGAGCCGCTGGTATTGGCACCAAAACACTTGAAAATTGTGTACATAGATGATAAATAGTATAATAAGAAAATACAGCAAATCTAAAATGAAGTCACAAGAGATAATTTTTACTTGAAAAACGTAGTACAGTTGTCCCTTGGTATCTCTGGGGGATTGGCTGCAGGACCCCTTGCAGATACCAAACTCTGAAGATGCTCAAGTCCCTTGTATAAAATGGTGTAATATTTGCACATAAGCTACACACATCCTCCTACACTTTAAATCATCTCTAGATTACTTATAACACCTAACAAAATGTAAATGCTGTGTAAATAGTTGTTATACTGTATTGTTTAGGGACTAACGACAAGAAAAAAAGCCTGTAGATGCTCAGTAGAGATACAACCATCATTTTTTTTTTCTTTGATCCACCATAGGTTGAATCTGTGGATGTGGAACCTGAGGATACAGAGGGCTAATTGCAATCTTAATATAGAATTTTTTCTGGTCTGATTTATGTGGTATATGACACATTTTCTTTTTTTAGATTTCATTTGTTCTCAGCAGTGATTGCTGCTGGAATGTTGCATTTTTATAACGAATTCCTTTGCTACTGATAGATATTAAAATAACTTTCCTCCACATGTCTAGATCATTAACACAATAACACCATTCCAACTTGTATTGTAACAAAACTTCACCAGTAATATTTATGTTCTCAATTATGATTGTCGACAAACCATTGATTAGATATTGGGCACTCTGCTATTTTATAGATGTTGTTTCCAGCCATTAAGAGATCAGTTTTGGGGCCGGCCCGGTGGCGCACTCGGTAGGGTGCGCCATATAGACCGGTCAGCTCACTGGTTGAGCGCAGTGCGGGCGCGACACCGAGGGTTGCAATCCCGTTGCCGGTTGCGGTACGGGGCGCGACACCGAGGGTTGCGATCCCATTACCGGTCACGAAAAAAGACAAAAAGGAAAAAAAAAAAGAAAAAGAGATCAGTTTTGGAAGTGATGTTAAAAGCCAGTGAAATCGTGGAGAATTTTAGTTGGGAATAAGCAGAAAGCACGTTCCTGAAAGCAAGTTACCTTTACAGACTAGTCTGTCTCTTAATGTCATTTAGATGCCCATCCACGAGAAAGAAGCTTCAGAGAAAGAAGTCATTCTTCTGGCGAAGATGAAACATCCCAACATTGTAACCTTCTTCGGTTCATTTCAAGGTTTGATTTTCTTATATTCTTAAAGTATTTTAGTAAAGCATAGGCATATTTGACCTTAAAAGATATGTTCCTGGAAACTGTATATAATTTTGTAAGTGGATCATTTTTCCGTGATTTAAATTGTATTTCGAGACATCATCTTTATTTCCTCTCTAGTGAGTTTTTTTTTTTTTTTT